CGTGCGACTTCAGTGGAAGTCGCACGACTTCAAAGCCAGATGCTGTTACCAACTAAGGTGCGACTTCCACGACATCTGCGGCTTGCAAGACACAGATATCTATGCAAGTCGCACCTGAAGTTCACCCAGTGACACCGATCCGGCTTTGAAACCGTGCGACTTCAGTGGATTTCAAAGTCAGATGCCATTCCCAACTGAGGTGCGACTTCCAAGACATCTTCCGATCCAGATTTGAAATCGTGCGACTTCAGTGGATGTCGACTTCGGATGTCGTTCCCAACTAAGGTGCGACTTCCAAGACATCTGCGACTTGCAAGACACAGATATCTATGCAAGTCGCACCTGAAGTAGTGCACGCTTTACCTGCAGACAACAGGGCGCAACTTGTCATGCGATTTGAAAGTTGCCAGACATGACAAATCGCACGGCAAGTCGCACCAGGGCACTTACTGACAGGATTTTCCGGTAAAATTAGAAGAAAGAAAACCAATGCAGCCGCCGCATCAGAATCGCACCCCGTTCATGCGAACCGCTGCGGGTGTGTATGTTAAGTTAACAACACCCCGAAATCGGCGCACAAAACTAGAATCGGATCGCATAGGTGTGAATACCCGTGCGATCCGATTCTAGTGCGGACCCAAAAAAGGGTCCTTTGCGTTTTTGGTGCGATCAGAACCATACAAAATGTACGTCTCCGATCGCACCGCACACAAATCGCATGTGATCTGTACAGGAATGCGGTGCGGTTTCTGTGTGAATCGCATGCAATATACCGCACCGCACATACGTGACCCCGGGCTCAGCCATGACTAGAGGGATCCTCGACAATCCCGTCATAGGCATTGCCGAAAAAAAAAATAGTGCCGGGCCAGGCGGCGGGCATCGCAGGAGGTATCAAAGCTCGCCGGCTAAATCCATCCCGAGGATAAAGTTGTCCTCTGCGGCTATTTATAGTCCTGGTCCCTCAGGTGTGCTGCGATCGCCGCGTGCCGCTGATGACAGAACGCCATCGATTATTCATCGCATTAACCCCGGCCGCGCCAAATGTTACTGGAAGCCGCGTGCCGCGAGGTAAACAAACACAACCTGCGTCTCCCACCATGCCGCGTCGCACCGATGGGGGCGGATTTACTAAAGCCAAATAGCCAAACAGGGGCGGACTGACCACTCCTGGGGCCCCCAGGGCAATAGGGGATCATGGGGCCCCTGTGTCCTCGCCCACACTCAACGCACACCCAAAAAAAAGCCTATAAAAAGGTACCAGGGGCATTTCATGGGGCCCCCTACTGACCCCGGGCCCCCCGGCAGTGCCCGAGTACCCAAATGCTCAGTCCGTCCCTGTCTGTACGCTCCGCGAGTGCAGCGGCTCCAGAGCTTAGTAAGGGCCGGTTCACACTCAGTTGCTTTTTTTTTTTTCTGCATCCAAAATCGCACAGAAAGCAGGAACTGCGGTGGTCGGTGTCATCGTTCATGAGTTGGGGGGAAAAAAATGCAAAATGCATCAAAACGCGTCAAAAAAGGCATCAAAACGCGTCAAAACGCATGTGCCAAAATGCGTGGCAAAATCACTGCAGAAACAGAGCAGACGCAAACTGCACAGGTGTGAACCGAGCCTGAAGGGGGGCGCAGAGAGCAATAAAAACACAACAGGGGCTCTAGTCCCTCTCCACTCCATCCAAAGCAAAAAGAAAAAAGATTTCCAAGTCGCATGGCTTGCGAACAGGGGCGGACTGACCATTTGGAAACTCTGGCACTGCCCGAGGGCCCGGGGTCAGTAGGGGGCCCCATGAGATGCCCCTGGTACCTTTTTCATAGGCTTTTTTGAGTTTGGGCAAGGACACAGGGGCCCCATGATCCCCTATTGCCCGGGGGCCCTATGAGTTGTCAGTCCGCCCCTGCTTGCGAATCGCATGCCAAATCACACCCGATGTGGCCGGGGTGTAAATTCCAAACCAAAACTGTCCTATAGTGCAGCTTACCAATCATTAGATGTGGCGGCTGCATTCCTTTTCTTTTCCTCTTCTGTTTTCACCCGGTGATCTTGTCAGTAACACCCCTCCTGTAGTAGAGCGCCCCCACTTCGGACAGCAGCATTGTCAGTCTGGGGGGGGGGGGAAAGGGGCAGGGGCAGACTGACAACTTATGGGGCCCCCGGGCAATAGGGGATCATGGGGCCCCTGTGTCCTCGCCCACACTGAAACCACACCCAAAAAAGCCTATGAAAGATAACAGGGGCGTCTCATGGGGTCCCTTACTGACCCGGGGCAGTGCCCTAGTTTCTGAATGGTCAGTCTGGGGGGGAGGGGAGTGTTTGATGGACTAGCAGATTTAGATACACTAACAAATTGAAGATAAACTCCAGGCAACACTTTAGACTGCAGTCGCACCGGGTGCGAATTGGCATGCGACTTGCAAATTGCTTGCCAAGTCGCACCCTTTTGTCCGCAGCTACAGCGGTCATACCAGTGCGGTCCCGTCGGAGCCGCACCGATTTCTAAAGTAGTCCATGCGCTACATTTGGTGCGATTTGCCTAGATAACTGTAGGCAAATAGGTTGTGCACTCCGCAAGTACAGCGGCTCGAGAGATTAGTAAGGGCCGGTTCACACGCCATGCGTTTCAGTCGCTTTTGTTTTTTTTCTTCATCCAAAATCGCACAGAAACTAGGATCTGCGGTGGTCGGTGTCATGGTTCACATCAGGGCTCACAGTTCCGGTGCGTTCCGGTGGCAGAAAAAAAAAAGTAGAACAGGCTGCGTTTTTCCTGCACAGAAGCGCACACTGGAACGCGGTAAAACGCATCAAAAACACACCGGGACGCACAGTGCAGCGGCTCCAGAGCTTAGTAAGGGACGGTTCGTACTCCATGCGTTTCGGTTGCTTTTTTTTCTGCATCTAAAAATCGCACAGAAAGTAGGATCTGCGGTGGTCGGTGTCATGGTTCACATCAGCGATCGCAGTTCCAGTGCGTTCCGGTGCCAGAAAAAAAAAAAGTAGAACAGGCTGTATGTATTTTTCCTGCACAGAAGCGTACTGGAATGCGGTAAAACGCACCGGAACGCACATGTATTTAAATTGAAGAGAAAGGGAGAGGAGGAAAAATGAAGCGGAAAGCATCAAAAGCGCACTGGAAATGCGACAAAAACGTTTCTAGGGCGCAGGGGGCGGACTGCCAACTCATGGGGCCCCCGAGCAATAGGGGATCATGAGCCCCCTGTGTCCTCGCCCACACTGAAACCACACCCAAAAAAGTCTATGAAAGGTAACAGGGGCATCTCATGGGGCAACACTTTAGACTGCAGTCGCACCGGGTGCGAATTGGCATGCGACTTGCAAATTGCTTGCCAAGTCGCACCCTTTTGCCCGCAGCTACAGCGGTCATACCAGTGCGGTCCCGTTGGAGCCGCACCAATTTGTAAAGTAGTCCATGCGCTACATTTGGTGCGATTTGCCTAGATAACTGTAGGCAAATAGGTTGTGCACTCCGCAAGTGCAGCGGCTCGAGAGATTAGTAAGGGCCGGTTCACACGCCATGCGTTTCAGTCGCTTTTGTTTTTTTTCTTCATCCAAAATCGCACAGAAACTAGGATCTGCGGTGGTCGGTGTCATGGTTCACATCAGGGCTCACAGTTCCGGTGCGTTCCAGTGGCAGAAAAAAAAAAGTAGAACAGGCTGCGTTTTTCCTGCACAGAAGCGCACTGGAACGCGGTAAAAACGCATCAAAAACACACCGGGACGCACAGTGCAGCGGCTCCAGAGCTTAGTAAGGGACGGTTCGCACTCCATGCGTTTCGGTTGCTTTTTTTTCTGCATCTAAAAATCGCACAGAAAGTAGGATCTGCGGTGGTCGGTGTCACAGATCACATCAGGGCTCGCAGTTCCAGTGCGTTCCGGTGCCAGAAAAAAAAAAGTAGAACAGGCTGTATTTTTCCTGCACAGAAGCGTACTGGAATGCGGTAAAACGCACCGGAACGCACATGTATTTAAATTGAAGAGAAAGGAAGAGGAGGAAAAATGAAGCGGAAAGCATCAAAAGCGCACTGGAAATGCGACAAAAACGTTTCTACGGTGCAGGGGCGGACTGCCAACTCATGGGGCCCCCGGGCAATAGGGGATCATGGGGCCCCTGTGTCCTTGCCCAATTAAAAAAGCCTATGAAAGGTACCAGGGGCATCTCATGGGGCCCCCTACTGACCCCGGGCCCTCAGGCACTGCCCGAGTTTCCAAATGGTCAGTCCGCCCCTGCTACGGCGTGAACTGGCCCTAAGTCACCGGTCACACCGCTGCGATGTGAAATTGTGCGATTTGTACGCGATTTCACCTGCAATTCCTGAAGACGTTATTGCGACTTGTGAAGATTTTATTTATTTATTATTTATTTATTTCAGGTACTTATATAGCGCCGTCAATTTACACCGCGCTTTCCATATATATTGTACATTCACATCAGTCCCCGCCCCCGAGGAGCGTACAATCTAAGCTCCCTAACTCACATTCATACATACACACACTAGGGGCAATACAGACAGGAGCCAATTCACCTCCCAGCATGTCTTTGGAGTGTGGGAGGAAACCCTCGCAGGCACAGGGAGAACATGCAAACTCCAAGCAGCTGGTGCCGTGGTTGGGATATTTTATTTATTTATTTTTAATGCGACTTTACACAGCTAACGTTACCAGCGTTATTAACCCCTGGCCTACCGGGCACTGACCCCCCCCCCCCCCCCCCCCCCCTTCCTGCTCAGGCCAGTTTTTTCGCTTTTAGCGCTGCCGTATGACAATTGCGCAGTCATGCAACACTGCCCCTGTATGATATTTTTATAATTTTTTTTGAGGCAGATAGAGCTTTCTTTTGGTGGTATTTAATCACCTCTGTGGGGTTTTTTATTTTCTGCTAAACAAACCAAAAACAACTGAAAATTTGGAAAAAATAAAAAGTTAGTTCTTAGTTTTGGTAATAAAATTTTGTAAACAAGTGATTTTTCTCCTTCATTGATGTGCGCTAATGAGGCTGCACTGATGGGCACTGATAGGCTGCACTGATGGGCACTGATAGGTGGCACTGATGAGGAGGCACTGGTAGATGGCAGTAATGGGCATTGACAGGCATCACTGATGGGCACTGATAGGCAGCACTGACTGGCACTGAAAGGCAGCTCAGATGGGCACTGGCAGGTGGCACTGATGGGGCTACACTGATTATCAGTGCCCTGATGATCAGTGTAGATGTCCCCTCCGAGGAATGCCAATTACCGGCTCTCCTCTCCTCTGTCAGCGTGACAGCTCGTGAGGAGAGGATTGCTGATAACCAGCATTTCCCTATTTACATGCGATCAGCTGTGATTGGACGCAGCTGATCACATGAATGAGCTGACGTCTTCGGCTCTTTCCGTTGATCGGTGATCTACTGCGTCCGAGGGACACAACGCACCGCCGATCGCCGCGCTGTGCACCCCCGGAGCCATGCACGTGCAGTTAGAGTGGGAGGACGTCATCTGAAAATGCTGCGATTTCTGCATCGCATCAGTGTGGACCCGGGCTCATAGAGAATACATTGCGGTGAAAGGAGAAGAGAAAAAAAAATTGTTCCATCGAGTCCGGGGGTCCCCAAACTTTTCAGTACCGGGGGGGTCACATTGTATATTTTACCAAATTGCGATTTTATAAATCAGTGAAAAATAAATAAATGGATATGAGATTCGTGGATCCAAATGGCTCCGGACAAAAGAGCACGAGGCTCCGGTCACAGCCTCTGGGAAAGCTAGCCAGGGAGCAAGGGGCGGAGCTGAAAACCTGGCCGGGGAGCAAGGGGGCGGAGTGGAAAAGCTGGCCGGGGAGCATGGGGCGAAGCGGGAAACCCGGCTGGGGAGCAGGGGGCGGAGCGGGAAACCCGGCTGGGGAGTAGGGGGCAGAGCGGGAAAGCTGGCCGGGGAGCATGGGGCGAAGCGGGAAACCCGGCTGGGGAGCAGGGGGCGGAGCGGGAAACCTGGCCAGGGAGCAAAGGGGCGGAGCAGGAAACCCGGCCGGGGAGCAGGGGGCGGAGCGGGAATGCTGCCCAGGGAGCAGGGGGCGGAGCGGGAAGCCGGGGAGCAAGGGGGTGGAGCGGGAAAGCCTGCCTGGGAGCAGGGGGCGGAGAGTGAAAGCTGCCCGGGGAGCAGGGGGCAGAGAGGGAAACCTGGCAGGGGAGCAGGGGGGCGGAGCTGGAAAGCTGCCCGGGGAGCAGGGGGCGGAGCGGGAAACCTGGCTGGGGAGCAAGGGGGTAGAGTGGGAAAGCTGGCAAGGAAGCAAGGGGCGGGGAGCAACAGGGGGCGAAGCGGGAAAGCTGGCCGGGGAGCAAAGGGGCGGAGCGGGAAACCCGGCCGGGGAGCAGGGGGCGGAGCGGGAAACCTGGCCGGGGAGCAAAGGGGCGGAGCGGGAAACACGGCCGGGGAGCAGGGGGTGGAGCGGGAATGCTGCCCAGGGAGCAGGGGGCGGAGCGGGAAGCCAGGGAGCAAGGGGGCGGAGCATGAAAGGCTGCCTGGGAGCAGGGGGCGGAGCAGGAAAGCTGGCCGGAGAACAGGGGGCGAAGCAGGAAACCTGGCCTGGGAAGAGGGGGCAGAGCGGGAAGCCGGGGAGCAAGGGGGCGGAGCAGGAAACCCGGCCGGGGAGCAGGGAGGGGGCGGAGCGGGAAACCTGGCCGGGGAGCAAAGGGGCGGAGCGGGAAACACGGCCGGGGAGCAGGGGGTGGAGCGGGAATGCTGCCCAGGGAGCAGGGGGCGGAGCAGGAAGCCGGAGAGCAAGGGGGCGGAGCATGAAAGCCTGCCTGGGAGCAGGAAAGCTGGCCGGAGAAGAGGGGGCGAAGCGGGAAACCTGGCCGGGGAGCAAAGGGGCGGAGTGGGAAACCCGGCCGGGGAGCAGGGGGCGGAGCGGGAAAGTTGGCTGGGGAGCAGGGGGCGGAGTGGGAAACCTGGCCGGGGAGCAGGGGGCGGAGTGGGAAACCTGGCCGGGGAGCAGGGGGCGGAGCAGGAAAGCTGGCCGGGGAGCAGGGGGCGGAGTGGGAGCGTGGGTTTTGCGCACTTTTTTGTTAAGCGTTTTTCACGTAACATGTATAGGGCGACGCTATACGCGACAAACGCGGCGTAGCAGCTCGTGGAACATTTTGCCTCATTCTGGTTCGCATGTTGTTTACTGCGCTTGTCGCACATTTCTGCATGCGGGAAAACATGCGTTTCCATTTCTGTGTTTGAGGCGCCATCACCAAGGAACGGAGCCACAGGCGCGATGTGTATTTTTTTACACGGCCTGGGAATGTTCGTATTCCTGGAACGGAGACGGGGCCTAAATAAAAGCAAAGCAATGCCTACCCTTACATCAGAATCCCCATTACATCACAGTCCCCATCAGAGTCCATCTTACATCAGAGTCCCCATCAGAGTTCATCTTACATCAGGGTCCCCCATCAGAGTCCCACCTTGCATCACGGTCCTCATCAGAGTCCCTCCTTACATCAGGGTCCACATCAGAGTTCCCCCTTACATCAGGGTCCCCATTAGAGTCCCCTCTTACTTCAAAGTCCCCATCAGAGTCCCTCATACATCACAATCCTCATCAGAGTCCTTCTCACATCAAGGTCCGCATCAGAGTCCCTCTTTACATCAGGATCACCCATCAGAGTTCCTACTTACATTAGGGTACCCATCACAGTCCCCCTTACATTAGAGTACACATTAGGAGCCCTCCTTACATCAGGGTCCCCCTCAGAGTCCATCCCTACATCAAGGTCCACATCAGAGTCCCTCTTACATCAGAGTGCACATCAGAGGCCCCCCCTACATTTTGAACCCCATCAGAGTCCCCTCCCTTACATTAGGGTCTCCATCAGAGTCCTTCCTTCCATCACAGTCCTCATCAGAGTCCCTCCTTACATCGGAGTCCTCTCTCACATAAAAGTCTCCATCAGAGCTCCCCCCCTTACATCATAGTCCACCTTAGCAACCCTCCTCACATCAAGGTCCCCATCTGAATCCCCAGCTACATCAGGGTCCTCATCGGAGTCCCTCCTTACATTGTGGTCTTCAGTCAGAGTCCCCCCTTAAACCTTAAATCAGAGTTCCCCTTACATCATAGTTCCCTCTATTCAATACAGGGGGAGTCAGCAGGGCACAGTACAGGGATCAGGAGGGCACAATCCAGGGGGAGTCAGGGGGGCACAGTACTAGTATCAGGAGGGCACAGTACAGGGGGGGTCAGGGGGGCACAATACTGGGATCAGGAGGGCACAATACTGGGATCAGGAGGGCACAATACTGGGATCAGGAGGGCACAGTACTGGGATCAGGAGGGCACAGTACAGGTTCTGGGTGTTGCCGTCCTGGGACAGCTTAGTAAAAAGCGTGACTGTCCTGGCAAATCCGGGACAGTTGGCAAGTGTGATGTAATGCAAGATTATAGTGGGGCCCTCATGCACCTGGGGCCCCTGAACAGTGCCCATGCAATAAAACAGCTCTGGTATCGCCTGCTGAACGTGACCCTATCAGGTGAATGGGGCTGCTCTGCACGTGTCGCACAGCCACATCCAATGCACGTGCGGTGATCCAGGGGTTAAAGCAGGGGGTGTGGAATGCAATGCAATGACGGTGGATTGCTCTTCAGAGACCAAAACTCATGTGAATGAGCCCTAAGGCTTGCTTCACACCTAGCGTGTCATGAACATGCGTTTTCGCATGTTGTTTTCTGCGCTGCATGCGTAGGCTGAACCGTTCATTTCAAGGGGCTGTTCTAATGTGCGCCAAAGAGGCTCGCGTACCTTTTTGGCCATTGACCTTCATGCAGTTCGCCATGTTTTTGGTGCCATTAACAATGAATGGTGTCGCACGCACGACACGCATGTTTTGCTAGTTTACTGAACACAGATGTGAACATAGAAGATCGTTTTGCGTGTGGCGAGCAAATAAGAGATCCACACAAATTACTTCACCTGTGACTGCATGAATCCTCTACAGCGGTCAGCATTAAATGGCGGACCGTGGTCCAAATCTGGACCAAATCATTGTCCCATCCGGATCGCCACGGTCCCGACATTTAGGAGCCATTCTGCCCAGCAGCTATCACTTGCACCGCTGTCATTCTCTCAGAGCCGACAGCGGGAGGCATGACAGCTCTGGATGGGGGGCAAAGGCTGCCTGAGTTAACAAGCAGGTGATTGGTTGCTAGGATTCAGGGCAGTCCTAGCAACCAATCACCAGCATGCTGCATCTGCCTGTTGTGAGCAGCTTTGCCTCCCGCCAAGTGTGTGTGGTCCCTCCTAATCTGTCTGTGTCAGGGAAGAGAGGAGGAGGATGTGAAGGGAGGCACAGGACAGCAGTGTGGGGGGGGGGGAGCTAAGAACATTAATGGGAGGCTGAGGACAGTAATGGGGGGCTAAGGACATAATGAGGGGGTGCTGTGGACAGTAATAGGGGGTCTCAGAGGACAGTAATGGGGGGGGTCTGAGGACTGTCATAGGGGGTCTGAGGACAGTAATGAGGACAGTAATGGAGGGTGCTGGGGACAGTAATGGGGGGGGGGGGTCCTGAGAACAGTAATGAGGGGGTCCTGAGGACAGTAATGGGGGGTCTCAGAACAGTAATGGGGGGGGTGTCAAGGACAGTAATGGGAGGGTCTGAGTAAAGTAATTGGGGGTGCTGAGGACAATAATGGGGGTGCGGAGGAGAGTAATGGGTGTCTGAAGTGTGTAATGGTAATATGGGGGGTCTGAGGACTGCATTGGGGGAGCTGAGGACAGTAATGGGGGGGTGCTAAGTATAGTAATGGGGGGGTGTCTGAGGACTGTAATGGGGGGTACTGGGGACAGTAATGGGGGTTGCTGAGGACAGTATTTGGCAGGGTCTGAGGACAGTATAGGGGGGGTGCAGAGGACAGTAATGGGGGGTCTCAGAACAGTAATGGGGGGGTCTGAGCAAAGTAATTGGGGGTTGCTGAGGACAGTAATGGGGGGTGTGGAGGCAAGTAATGGGGGGTCTGAGGTGTGTAAAGGGGGGATCTGAGGACTGTAATGGGGGAGCTGAGGACAGTAAAGGGGGGTGCTGAGTACAGTAATGGGAGGTGTCTGAGAACTGTAATGGGGGGTACTGGGGACAGTAATGGGGGTTGCTGAGGACAGTATTTGGCAGGGTCTGAGGACAGTAATGGGGGGGTGCAGAGGACAGTAATGGGGGGTCTCAGAACAGTAATGGGGGGTGCTGATGACAGTAATAGGAGGGTCTGAGCAAAGTGATTGGGGGGTGCTGAGAACAGTAATGGGGGTGTGTGGAGGACAGTAATGGGGGGTCTGAGGTGTGTAATGGAGGGGTCTGAGAACTTTAATGGGGGAGCTG